TACTCAAAATAATGTAGGTTCGTCAAAGGTATTAAAATAAACAATTTTATTAATTTCTAATTTTTGACATTGATGATTTTTATCCTTCTATCAATGAAAATCTTTTAAATGACGTCATTAAATTTGCTGAGAATTATGTAACAATAAACATTAATATTAAAATCAAAGATAAACAAATAAGTATGTAAGCCCTAAAATCGTTGTTGGTTAATAATGAGCAACCTTAGATTTAAAAAAATTAGCGGTTTGTTTAATGTTGTAATGAGTGCTTTTGACGGCGCAGAGTAAGCTTGTCATTTTTCTTGTTTTTCAGCTATTCCAAAATTATCATAAAAACCAATGATATATTATATAAACTAGATGTCTAACTTGCGGGATTTTATTGGACAAAAAACGAAGCCGCTTTTTTTTGTTTATAACAATAGTCCGCCGTTTGTAAAAAGTGAAGCTAAAGAATGGAATAAAAGTTAAAAATGTTAGTCAAAAGTTCCCAATAAATTAAAGATGATTCAATAACAAACTTTAATAATTATAAAATTCTTATAAAAGTTTTTTTTATGAGCCTATGTTTATTAAAAAGTATTTTAGTTCATAAAAATGCTTCAAAAGCGTCTGTCGTTTTACTTTTCTATTCAAAACTTTAATCCCTTTTTAAATCAAAAATAAATGAAAGAATCATAAACTATTATTTTAAGTTTTCTAATTTCCTCTTGACACTTTTACATATTTTACGTATTTAAATTTAATATATATTTACTTCATTTAAAAAAAGAAAAGTTAAAAATATTTGTTTACAAATTTAATCCGCCATATATGTGTAAAAAGGGCAAAAAGCAGCTTCACTTTTCGGATCGAAGTTAGACATCTAGTTTGTATAATATATCATTGAGAAAAATAGATTGGCTTATACCGAGACAATGGGTAAACGGTTTTTAAAAATTCTTGTTGCCACTTCATAAATGGAATAAAAAACATTTAATTTTTCATTTTTTATATATATTATTTTTAAAAATCATCTTTTTTTCTCTATACAAGGCAACATATTGCTTACATGTTGCATAGATAGTTAAGATAGTAGTTGTATAGAGATAGTTAGTGAGAAGTAATGAACTTTCATGATGTATTATTTAACCTTAAAAACCAATCTTTCGGATCACTTCGTAAACCAAATGGTAAACTAAGTTATATTCATGTTGATTCTTATCACCCTCCTAGCATAAAGTAACTTCCTCTTTCTCTAGAATTATGGCTTCCAGCTAATTTAACAAATAAAACTATTTTTCAAAACTCTACTCATTTGTATCGGGAATCATTAAAAAAAGTCTAATTACAAATTTAAACTTGACCATGTTCCGAAACTCATTCAGCAAGCTCTTTCTAATTGGCCACGAATACCACAAGATTTTTAATTAAAAAAACCTTTAAATGTGAGTTACAAGCCAAACATCAAATCAATAGCTAACTCATATAACCATCTTATAATGAAATACAATACCACAGATTCCAATGTATATTACAGTTGTATTATTAAAAGAAAATTTCCTTTCAATCAACAGTGCCTTGTAAATAACATAGTGTATCAGGCTAATTTAATGGAATGAAAAAGTGTATTTTGGAGTTACTGAAACTGCATTTAAACTTAGATACGCCGACCATACAAATTTTTTAGTATCAAAAAATATAAATACTGAATTGTCTAAGGAAGTATCGAGGTTAAAAGAAAGTGGAGTAAATCCGACAATTGAATAAAATATTGTAAAAATTTTGCAGATCTTACATTCTTACTCTAAAACGATGCAAATGTCAAAATATCTTACACCAATAATAACATATTAAATAGAAGAAATGAGTTGGTTTCTAAATGTAGACATAAAGTCATATTTCTTCAAAATACGATACAGGTGATTAGACAATTGTTTTCAGATTTTTTTTACTTATGTTTTTTGTTTTTATTTTGTTTTGACGACGGAGCACACTCCACTGTAACTATATTTTCACGGTTTTTTTGTCTCTTGTTTTTTATTACATGGCTTATAATTGCTTTTAGGCATGAAACTATTTGCACCATAAAAAGTTCCCTAGTATATAAATTTATATGTATAAATATATATATGCGTGTGAGTGTACGTGTGTGTATATATATATATATATATATATATATATATATATATATATATATATATATATATATATATATATATATATTATATATATATATATATATATATATTAAAGCAAACTAGATGTGTTTCATAAAAATATTCTTTCAAACCTTTATGCCCTGGTGTAACAGCATCAAAACTTTTTGGAGTTCATAGAATTTTAATATTTGACAAACAAAATTTTAAACAAAATTTAAGATAAAAAAATTTCATACTTCCTTAATATTAAACATAAACAAGTTTTTCAAAATATTTTTCTAACAACCAAATTATTTATTCTAATATATTATGTATACTTTTTAATTTTTGTAACCAAATTTATGGGAAAAATATTAATGCTACTTAATACAATTAAATCTTTTTATAAATGGATTTTTATTTTGACGACAAGGTTGTAATCTCATTTACTAAAGTATTTTTTAGCTTCTGAATAAAATATTGGTTTTGAATTTGAAGTAATAGGTTTTGAATGTCCTTATAATCCCTCAAGTAGCAAAACATAATAACATTTAATATATTTCATTACAGATTTCACAGGAGTTTTTTTTTTTGAATGAAAAGTTAGTATTCCGACGTAAAACGCAAGATATTAATTCCTTTTTAAAATATTATTAGGTGATAAGAATGATTAAGCCATGATCAGATTAGTTTATATTGGATTTCTCTTCAATAAATAAAATTTACACAAGATTTATTCTTAGATATTTCAAGTTATTTTATATTAAAAACCAAAAATTAAGTGCAATAAAAATTGCTTTATAATAAGCATGGTTTTTCTTAGTTGTCCAAACATGATGAATCTAGCATTAACTTTTTTTTTTTATTAATTTTAAACTTTTGCAAACTTTGGTTATAAACCAAATACCAACTCTTAACTTCTAAAGGCGAGTTTCCACTCATCTGTTTTTCAACGGGAACGGGATAGGAAAGGAAAAAATAATCACGTGAGCATGCGTAATAAAAGTTTTTATTTGTCCGAAAGAAAACTGCGCATGCTCACGTGATTACTTTTCCGTTCCCTTTCCCTTTCCCGTAGAAAAACGGATGAGTGGAAACTCACCTTAACAACGTGGAAAGTGCATATGATTGTCGTAGTAATTAACATTATTTATAGAAAATCTTAATCGTTACTTAATGTAATCCACGCTCGAATGAATATTGATTTAAATTTCTAAAACTCAATCATTAAAAATAACTCAAAAATAATAAAAATTCATTCAAAAGTTTTTCCTATAATTGATCACAATTATCTTATAACAACTTTAACATTGTTTAGATCTTTTTTAAGACATATACTCGTAATTTTTATATACATAAAACTTAACTTAACATAAACCAAATTTTTATACTTTAATATTTATATAAATTAGAGGTCGCCTTTAAATTTTTATAGTTATATACATTAGGGATCGTCTATAAAGTACGTACGTTCGGAGGGGAGAAGGGGTCTGCAAATGGTGTATATGACATAGGGGGCAGAGGGTTATAATAATATTATATTATGAAGGTAAGGAGACACTAAATTAAAAAAAATGTCATAAAATGTTGTAAAATGTCATAAAATTCTATCTAGGTTAAAAGCCTCCCTATCCAAAATTTTATGACATTTTACGACCATCCTAACGAAATTTAATTATAAGAAAAGAAATAAAAAGTATGATGTCGTTCAACTCTTTTAAAATTATAGTTAAACAACATTTACTATAGGGTAGAGCATTGCTAAATGAGTATAGGGTCAAAAAGGGCATTTAAATACCTCAAAAATTTTATTTCGATCAACAAAACATCTAATGGATGAAAGTTAGGGAAATAGAAAGGTAACAAAAAGGGCGATGCACGGAGACCTTTTCTATTTTGGACAAAAAAAAGTTAAATAAAGAATTATTGCCATTTTTTTCTTACATAATTTTTTTTTTTATCTAACCATGTTGACAAAAAAACATTGTTAACAAATAAATTACTTAAAAAATTATGGAATAGATAGGAAGTTGAAATGAAATTGTTGGCTGGTTTAATTTATTTTTATTTAAAAGTTTGATAATTGTTTAACCGGGCCTAAAGTTATCCAAAAAAAATTAAATAAAGAAAACAGTTTCAACTTTAAATATGATAAAATGTTTTTGAAATTTTTCAAATTGAAATCTAAAAAAATCCACTTCGATAAAAACCGACAAAAACCAACAACAACACAAAAAAATTGAAATAATAACTAAAAATGAACGAAAAATAATAATAATAATAAACGGCCATAGAAGAATAAACTAAATAACAATACAAAAAGTTTTTTTATACCACTAAATTTTATATTGTAAAAATTGTAAAAGATACTGTAACTTAGAATCGTAGCGATGAGCCCCTTACGCCTACTTTTTGTTGTTACGCTAATTACGAAATTAAAATTTTTATTTAGTTATTGAGCATTGAACATGAAATAAGTACTAATCTGAAGTATGATGAGATAATCAATCAGTTTGCTGTAGTTAAAGAACAAAATGTGGCTTTGCAATAATGTATAAAGTTCATTATCGTGTTTAAAAGGGATTGTAGTGAAATTTACAGTACTTATATCAATTTTGTCATAATTTCCTGTATAAATATTAATAATAAAAATTACTTAAAAATTGAAGAAAAATAAAAATATAAGGGGGGGGGCTCCATTTCCATGTATGCCTAGGGCCCCCAAATTGCTCTGTCCGGCACTAAATAGGTGATAAAGAAAATTATAATAATTATTAATAACAAAAAAATCACTTATTTAAGTATCTTAACTGAATCATTACTTAAATACCCTAATTGCATTGAAAGGTTTCTTCTGAGTGGGTTCTAGAGATCTTGAATTTAACAAAAAACGTTTCTTTTTCAGAAGACTATGTACTATAGTACTTAAGTACTATAGTACATAGTCTTCTGAAAAAGAAATTATAGTACTTGGTCTTCTGAAAAAGAAAAAGAATACGTAGACGCTTGAACTCACATGTGAGTTCAAGCATCTAAACTTTAATTAAATAAAAATCAAATAATCAATTTGTTGAACATTCGTAATTTCTAAACTAGCTCACAGGCTTTATAATTAACAATAAAGAATTTAGTTTAGTTTTTTTTAAGTTATTTACATTAGCCTAATATTTTGCTGTCTTTGCTTTTAGATCAATCTCTTTTAAGTGTATCCTGATCTGTTAACTCATCAGGAGAATCTTGATCCGTTGTTTCGTTAAAATCAACTTTCACTTTCACTTTCACTTAATTATAGTAAACCTTTACTCTTTTATTCTAGTCTGTTATTTTTTAATAAATAAGAATTTAATTAATAAGAAACTAAATTTTAGACCGACAAAAAATTAACCAAGGTAGAGCAGGGTAAGCTGAGGAATTTATATCTAATTGATTTCATAAATTGTGCGTTGGACTTATTTAATTTGTTGGACTTAATTTGTTATAAACACAGATGACCTTTCATATAATCTTCAGCTGTGTATAAAATTGTTAAAAAAAAACTGTTTATAACAAAAGAACTTAAAACTAGAAAAAAGGAATAAAAAACTTGGTGAACAAGTTTTTTTTATTTCTTTACCTATATAACTATCAAGTCATCTTCCTGTTTATGAAATGTGAGATTCATATAAAAGAAGTAAACTTTCATTAGGTTTGAAAAAAAAGTTCGTTTTCATGGCATTTGTAAACTCGCTGATCATATTTATCTAAACCAGTACCTGTTCTGCATAAATGGATGTGTAAATTAGTTCATATATCAAGTTGTTGGTTTTTCTATATATGTTGTTTTTCCATAACATCCATTACATAATAACAAATAAATAACGTTTTCCAAATTACAAGACATTGATGTTTTCATGTTCCTTACTTTATCCGATGATGTGGTAAAATGGTTAACGAACTGTTGGAACATAGTGCATAACTTACAACTTTTTGATGCGTGTTTTAAAACCATGTATTCACTGTATAAGTAGACTGGTTCTCTATTAAAACTTGGTGTTACTAATTGTTATGTTTTTTGGTTGGCATTGTCATAAAACAAATTTTTGCAAATATTAACTTTTTAAAGTTAGTATTTACAAAGTTTTTAGTTACAAAAGGTATTATTTTGTTCTCTGCTCTTTTCTGGAATCCTTGTCCTTATAGTCGAACTGAAAAAATCTCATTATTGATAATTTTTAATGGATAATTGCATATAATTAAAAAACTTTTAAGTTGTTGAAATCTGATTTTAATTTTTATTGGATTTGAAACAAAACATATAATACGTTTTGCTAAATTAAAATGTATATTATTTTTGTATGTTCAGAGTGATGGCTTTTATAGTTTAGATAATAATATGAAACAAATTTTCACTTTTGTTCTATTCCTGGGTTAAAAGTGTGTTTTCCTAACTTGTTAGATCTAGAACAGAAAGGAAATCGCTGTTATTCGAGAAAAACTTTGCTTCTATGACCGGGACAATTAAATTTAGAAAATTACGTGTTTTCGAAAAAATTCTTGATTTGCTTTCAATGCCGAGCTTACTCCTATAAAATTCCTGAACTGCTAGATGGTTCTACAATTCTCCAAAATACTCTAGAATATTCAAGAAACTTCCAAAACTTTCGAGAAACTCTCAGAACTTTCTAAAACGTTCTAGAACGTTCCAAAAGTAGCTGTTCAAGTATAAAAGAACAGGTGTCTTGAATCAAGTCTCCAATTTGTGTTATTGCAGAATAAAAAGAACACAATTCGTAGTTGAAAAGAATTTGTATATTTGATATGGCAACAAGAGGTTGTTTGCATGAGAGAAAAAGTATTCCAAGCAAGCAAGTTGTATAATATGCGAGGCCTATAAGGACACCGCATCTTCATGCAAATATTGCAAGAAAACACTTAAATGTAAACTGAACTGTAGCATCTTGCTTAGATGTGTTTTAATTTATTTTCATAAAATTTTAATGCTTTTGATCGAGTTCATTTCAAAGGATTTGTAATTTACAAAGATTTGCCATAAGTCTTGTGCTGTAGGCAAGTACGTTCCATCTTGAAATCGTTCCATATTTTGAAATTTCCTGTCCTCAAATTATCATAAACCTTATGTATTATTATGTCCGATGTTTCAGGTAGGTACAGAGGAGAGAAGTGAGCCATGAAGTTTGGTATCCCGCAAATATGGCGGTAGCCAACTGAAGCCAACCACTTAAGCAACTGCTAATTCTGCATGATAAACCTAAAAAATCATTACTCTGGCAAAAATGCCCCTTAGATTGTTCATCAAAACATCCCTTCTTCTATCGTTTCAGCACCACACAGCCCCAATCTGCCTGTTCCAGCTTCTCCTAGGAGGAATTACCATCTTCACGAGACAGCAGCGATTCTCTAGAAGAATTTGGAGATAAAATGCTGTACTTTCCTAATCAGAAAGACGTGAACGATTTAATTAGGGACCTCGGATTTACAAAATCAAATTCTGAGCTTCTGATATCCAGGCTCATACAGTTAGACTTGGTTGATGATAACGTACAAGTCACGGATCAGAGTAAGCAGTATTAAAGATTCTCCAACTTTTTCAATCAACCTGATGGGCTGTGCTTCTGCAAAAAGGTTGCTGGTCTATTCCAGGCTATAGATATTGCAATTAATCCTATTAAATGACGCCTATTCGTAGATGGTTCATCCTTGAGCCTCAAGGCCGCGTTGCTTCACAATAGAAACAACTACCCATCTCTCCTGATGCCCCACTCTGTGCATCTCAAAGAGGACTACATCAGTGCCAAAATATTGCTGAGTAACAAGGAAGAATTAAAATCGGTCTATAGTTTACAACGTTTATCTTATAACAACTTTAACATTGTTAAATTATCTTTTAACAACTTTAACATTGTTTAGATCTTTTTCTAAGGCATTTACGAGTAGATGATAGTTATCAATTATAGGAAAAACTTTTCAAAGTATGACAACTTCGGATGGGAGGTCCTCGGTGACTTCAAAGCGGTATCATTCTTCATAGGTCTTCAAGGAGGTTTCACAAAATTTTCTTGTTTCCTCTGTCTCTGGGACAGCCGTAACACTAGTTAAAAGTGCATTATTGCACAAAGAACTGGCGCCAATATACTGAATTTTCTGTTGGGAAGAGTAATGTAAAGTGAGAGCCGCTGGTAAATTCTCATAAAGTGCTTATGCCACCGCTGCACATTAAGTTAGATCTCATTAGGCAATTTTTCACTCCTCTTGACAAGGAGTCAGCAGCATTTCAATACCTCCAAGATTTTTTTCCAAAGCTGTCCGAGGCTAGGTTCAGGGATGGTATATTTGCAGACTACATATAAAGAAGTTCATAGAATGTGAGAATTTTGCAAATCTGTTGAAAAGGACGGAGAGAGCGGTTTGGAGCAGTTTTGTTGCAGTTGTTCTGGGCTTCCTATGTAATCATAAAGCTAAAAACTATGTGGAGTCGGTGCAGACTCTCATAAAGAATTATGCCAAAATGTGATGCAGAATGTCTCTTAAAGTCTATATCCTTGATTCGCATCTCAACAAATTTAAGGAAAACATAAACGCTTACTCCAAGGAGCAAAGCAAGCGCTTTCATCGAGATATATTGTACTTTGACATCGCTACCAGGAACAGTATAACGAAATCATGATGAGAAACTACATTTGGGGGCTACTTCGAGAGAGTGATTCACAGTACAATCATAAATCTAGAAAATCTAAACATTTGACAAAAATGGAAAAAAAAATCGTTACATTTTCACAAAAAAACGAGCTTTATTTGTGCTATTGTCGTGTAAGCAAATGAAGTCATTTCTTCACATACTAAATAATAACTATAAACATACTTTAAACATAAGCAATTGAAGTGTAATATTTAGATGCCAGGAACAAAATTTTTTTACATAGTTTAATCATGGGAATTTATAGATTTATAAAAAACATCTGTTTCAACCATTTTTTTATAATGTAGAATTACTGTTTTGTCTATAAAATTTAAAAGTTTGTACTGAGAGGTTTCCGTATGTAAAACTTTAGATTGCTCTTCTGTATATTTAATATCGGGGTGTAACAAACTAATACATTTTAACAGCAAGTTAAAACTTTTAGATTTAAGTAAAGCAACAAAACTATCATCCATGTATTTTTTTAAAATTTTTTTGTATATTTTCACCTTCAATATTATTAAAAAAGGCTTTAGGAAGTAGTTTCACTTCAAGATACCCTACTACACAAACACTGTTTTAAAGAGAACAGTAAGGCTTAAGAAAATATGGCCAATTATAATTAAAAGTCCGATAAATCAGTAAAATATTAACACTTAAGTGATGGCAAATAAAAATATTTATGAGCATCTAAGACAAAAATAGCAATAACTTTTTTTTGCATTTTTTTGAACCAAAATTGAGAAAGCGGATAACGGTTAGGGAATTAATGGATAAAGGTTAGGGAATTAAAATGGTAACACAACGCACAGCAAAGAATTGTTGAACATTATTCTTCCTTGAATACTGTTCAACAATTCTTTGCTGTGTGTTGTGTTACCATTTTAATTTTCTAACCTTTATCCATTAACCCTTTCGCGACTGAGCTGAAAACAGCTACACGACTGCGCGTAAAATAAAGAACTAGGATCATGATCAATTGAAAGAGTATAAAATAAAAAATACTAATCAGAATTTTAAAAACAAGACCTTGTTTTTTTGTCTTAGAATTGACTTTCAGAATATCCAAAAGCTTTAAAAAAATTTTGTTTATCTTAGTTACGTGATCAAAATATATTATGTTAAAATTAACAAAAATATATAGTTTCTTTATTGTTTTAATGACATTTCTTGTAGTACTTGATAATTGAGCCACAGAACACTGCAAGAACTGCCACGGTTTATTTAATTGGATGCACCCAAAAACGATCGCATTCAAGTCTAACTACCATGAAAGGAAAATAAGAGAGTCTCTTGAAATTAATTATGCCAAAACAAATTACGAAATAAGACACTTCCCACCGCTTTTGAACAAAGACAACGGTGTTAAAATTGCGTCAAATAGCTGGCGACCTCTTTTTAAAAAAATCATAGAAATTTCAAAATAGTTGTTTACGTTACCTCAGCTCATCTTTGTAATGTCTTCTATAACGGTTTTTTACATAAGTTTTTTTTTTTTTTGTGAGATTTTTATTGTATTTAATTTTACGTCTGATGACGGTCTGAACTATTCAGACTGAAATATTACATAAATAAATTAAAATATTAGTACTTAGCTGTATTGTATGTGTTATAAATTAAATAAATAGTTTCTTTATGAAAACTTAAACAAATTAAAAAGAAATTTATCATTTTTGATATTAAATCAATGAAGCCTTTATAGTGTTGATGAAACATATCATTTTTGATATTAAATTAATGATGTCTTTATAGTGCTCATGGAAAAAAAGTACCGTTACTATCGTTGAAAAAAATATAAATGATTTCATTTATATCAATATAATATAATCTGTTCTTCGTCATTTTTTAAAATTGATTTTTGAGCGATCTATAAAGTAATTTAGAAACGGTTTGAAGCATTAACTAAAGAAATTATTCACACCTTTGCAATGACTTCGCAAATGGTGGACGCTTTTTTCTTACGGTTGAAAATAACTTATTTAAAAGGAAAAGGGAAAAGAAACATGTACAAATTAAACCAAAAATGAAATAATTAAAAAGAAGAATAAATAAATCTTTTAAAAGAAGAAAAGAAAAAGAAATATCTGGAAAAAAAAAGAGTAAAAAAGTAATGAAAATAGAAATTAAAAAAAAAACTTTAATGAATGAAATATATAAAAAGAATGGCAAAGAATCAAAAAAACTATTTCATTATCGGGAAATCAAGATTTATTTTTTCATATATTTCTTTAGTTTTCTTTCATATATTTCTTAGGATTATCTATTTTATAATTTATTTATTTTTCTTCAATTTTTTAACGTATATAGTTTTACTTATTATTTTTTGTTAGTCATTTGTTTGTTTTTTAGTTATTATTTATTTTTAGTGGTATATACTTTTTTTATACAGTATATATTGTTTTTTTATACAGTTTATATGTTTTTTTATACAGTATATTTGTTTTTATTTTCATTTTAGCCATTCATTATATATGTTTTATTCAACTGTGTATTATTTTTTTAAATCTTTAGTTTTTTGTTGTTGTTGTTTATTTTGTTTTTTTTTTGCATAATTTTTTGTTTTGTTCGTAATGTTTGTTGTACCTTGTTTTGTTTTGGTTTTCTCAGTGTTTTTCTTTTATATTTTATTTATTTATTTGGTCATAATATTTGCAATATATTTTGATTATTATATTTTATCAACTATGATTATACTAAATCTTGATAATTTTTTTAGCAGTCGTTTTTACGTCATCGTTTGTTGTTTTGTCAGTTTATTAACTGTAACTTTGTATTTAAAAATGATTGCTGTATGGAAAGTAATACCGATTTATTTAAATTATTATTGCTGTTATTATTGCTATTATGCAATTAATTATTTTTATTGTTGTGTTATTGTTAATTTATTGCTTTTTTTATTATTATTATAACTATATGTGTCTATAATATGTTTTTATATAATCAAAGAGGTTTTTACTTTATATTAGTTCTTATAACTATTTGTAAACGACCGTGGAAATTAGATCTTTTTTCCAGAATATATAATTGATTGATTGATTGAATTGATTGAATTTGTCAGGTCAGGTTTTCCTGCTACTGGTAACATGTAACCCAGTACAACCTGCTCCATGTCCTACTGCCTTGTAGGATACGCTTTTTTAGGCAAAGGCTAGGAGAAGTTAACTCCGAATTAAAACACCCCCTGCCTTGGGGCTCTTGGTTGAGTAAAGGCTAGAGATGGTGTCTCGATAAAAATACTCATCTTGGGCAGATGTTACATGCATCCAGCTGCTGTCTTGCAGAAGGCCTCCTAGGCAAAGACTTAAGGGGTAAACAGATTCTATCTGTTGACCAGCCTCGCACCCCTTCCTCATCTATTAGGCTGGCGCAGATGTATTTTTAATACATTGTTTCCAGTTTAGGATGTTGAACGCTGGATCTTCTTGACTCAATGCGTGGGTATTGCTTGTGTCTCTATTTTTATGACTGGGCAACTCATTCTATTATCTCCTAATGAGGGTACAGCTCTAAAACTCAGTTTTATGGTTCTGAGGCCGGCTGGTAGTCAGGTTTCCCGAACTCTGTGGTAGCTCTCAGAGAGGCTGATTCCATCAACAGCCGAAAAATATCAGAGTACTAACAGTGCCATGTTGCGCATGGATGGTGTCCCTGTTTGTACTTTTGGTGTGCATTGCAGAGGCCACATTTGGAGCCCTTTGTTACGGCTTAGGGTTTATTAATAGTAATGAGGCTATTGCTTAGTTGTTAAATAGTGTACTGAGTACTATCTATACTTGAGTCAAGTTCTTTATAAATTTAAAATGACTAAAGTACCTAAAACTAAAAAACACAAAAAACCATCGTCATCACCAAGTTCTCTAAACCTATCATTTACTAATATTCGTGGTCTTCGAAGTAACTTTTCTTCTGTTGAGTCTTATCTCTTGCAAAGTTCACCAGACCTACTTGCTCTTTGTGAGACTAATTTGAGTTCGGCTGTCCCATCTTGTGATCTTAGTGTTGATGGTTATCTTCCTTTAATTCGTAAAGACTCCAATAATCACATGCTTGGCCTGGGCATCTACATTCGTAAGAACTCACCCATTTGTCGTGAAACTAGGTTTGAATCTACAGACTATTCATTTATGTGCTTTCGTTTAGCACAACTTCACTCTATCGCCTTTCTCTTTGTTCTATATCGCTCTCCTTCATCCCAAGATTGCACTATTTTTGATGTTATTTCTGATCAAATTGACCAAGCCCTCTCTCTTTATCCATCGGCCAATATCGTCGTTGTTGGTGACTTTAATGCCCATCACACCGATTGGCTTGGCTCTAGTGTCAGTGACTCTGCTGGCGTTAAGGCCCTCAACTTTTGCCTTTCTCAATCTCTAACTCAAATAGTCAACTTTCCAACTCGTTTTCCAGACAACCCTAATCATTTACCTTCTCTACTCGACTTATGTCTTGTTTTGGATCCTAGTCAGTGCTCAATTTCTCCACATTCACCCTTAGGTACTTCTGATCACGGTTTGATCTCTCTAAAACTATTATCAAATTCTTCTACTTCATCAGAATCCCCCTATCATCGTACCACATACAACTACCTTAAAGCTGACTGGGACTCTTTCCGTGATTTTCTTCGTGATGGCCCTTGGGTAGAAATCTTTCGTCTTCCTGCTGACAAATGTGCTTCTTACATAACTTCGTGGATTCAGGCTGGCATGGAATCTTTTATTCCCTCTCGACGATTCCAGGTCAAGCCTCACTCTTCTCCTTGGTTTTCCTCACATTGCGCTGCAGCAATTTCTAATCGAAACCGTTACTTCCATATCTATCAGCAAAACAATTCTCCAGAAAACAGACATCTGTTCACTATCGCCAGAAACCATTGTAAAAAGGTTTTGTCTGACGCCAAAGCTCGCTATTCCCAGGTCATTAAATCTCGTATCTCATCACAAAAATTAGGCTCTCGAGACTTCTGGAGAATCTTTAACAGTATCAATAATAAGGGCAAATCTGTTATTCCTTCTCTCTTGTATGGTTCAGACTTTGTCACCTCACCTAAAGACAAAGCTGAATTGTTTGCTGAGAACTTTTCATCAATATCATCTCTTGATTCCACTAGTTGCGTTTTACCTGACATAGCCGTCAAACAGGTTGATCCCTTGCTTGACATTCGCATCACTTCAGCTTCTGTATCTAAAGTAATTTCCTGCTTAGACTCTTCAACAGCTTGTAGTCCTGACAACATTCCTGTTGTAGTCTTGCAGAGGTGTTCTCCGGAGCTTTCATCCATACTTTCTAAACTATTTAACAAGTGCTTATCAGAGTCTTGTTTTCCATCATGCTGGAAAGCAGCATCTGTTATCCCTATTTTCAAAAATTCCGGAGAGCGATCTGATTCATCTAACTACCGTCCCATTAGTCTTCTTCCTGTCATAAGCAAGGTTTTTGAATCTTTAATCAACAAACACTTAATCTCTCATCTTGAATCAAATAACTTACTTTCTGATCATCAATATGGATTTCGGTCTTCTCGTTCTACAGCTGATGTGCTAACAGTAATAACCGATAGGTTTTACCGTGCATTAGATAGAGGTGGAGAGGTTAAGGCTATTGCACTCGACATTTCTAAAGCTTTTGAAAAGTTTGGCATGCTGGTCTTCTCTATAAGCTTTCTTCTTATGGTGTAACTGGTAACGTCTTTAAGATTATTGAGTCCTTTCTTTCCAATCGTAGTATAAAAGTTCAATCCTTGGCCCTATACTCTTTTTAATTTACATTAACGATCTTCCAGATATTCTCACATCTAAGGTGGCATTATTCGCTGACGACACTACCATTTACTCTTGTCATGATAAGAAGCCTACACTCTCTGATTGCTTGGAGGGGGTATCTGAGCTTGAAAAGGATCTCACTTCTGCTACAGCTTGGGGCTCACAGTGGCTGGTGAACTTTAATTCAGATAAAACTCAATTTTATTCGGCCAATCGTTATCGTAATAATTTAGATCTTCCTATATTTATGAATGGTAATGTACTAGATGAGTCATCTACCATTCATCTTCTAGGATTAACTCTTACTTCTGATCTTTCTTTTAAACCGTATATCAAATCCATTGCAAAATTAGCATCTGCTAAGGTTGCATCTCTTTATCGAGCTCGACACTTTCTTACTCCAGATTCTATTCTCTATCTCTATAAATCTCAAATCCGTCCCTGTATGGAATACTGTTGCCACATCTGGGGCGGATCTTCTAATGATGCTCTTTCTCTTTTAGACAAGGTGCAAAAACGAATTGTAAACATAGTTGGACCTGCTCTCGCAGCCAATCTCCAACCTTTGTCTCATCGTCGTAATGTTGCTTCTCTTTCTCTTTTCTACAAATACTATAATGGGCACTGCTCTAAAGAGCTAGCGTCCCTTGTGCCATCTACTAAAATTCATTCTCGTGTTACTCGCCATTCAATTAAGTCTCATCCTTTTTCTGTGACTGTTCCTAAGTGCTTCAAAAACTCTTATTCTTCTAGTTTTTTTCCTCGAACATCAGTTCTTTGGAATTCGCTTCCTTCATCTTGCTTTCCTGATTCATATAATTTGCAATCTTTTAAGTCATCAGTCAATCGTTATCTTGCTCTACAGATTTAGTCTTTTCTCTTCCAGTAACTTCCAACTCTTATAGTGGTTGCTTGCAGCCTTGTTGGAAGTGAAGATGTTAAAAAAAAAAAATAAAAAAAATTCAAAGATAATTTTTAAGTTTTTCTCAATTGCTATAGATGTCTTGAAATATTTTAAATTGCTTATGAACCGCCATACGGGTCACGCGTCACGAAAGGGTTAAATGTTTTTTATGCAATGAGTAGATATTTTAATTGCCTTATTTACCTGTAAACTTAACTAGTCCCGCTCTACCCTACAAAGCGTCATTATCTTACTTGCTCAATCAGTAGCTTAAACTTATTTGTTTTAAAATACCATTTTGCTTAGCGTGAAAATAATTGCATAATGTAACAAAGTAGTAAAGACAGCAATTAGACCATTAGGACCGCTACCAAATAAGGTAGTAACTAACTGACAACAAATCAAAACGATGAAGAAAGTAATTTGAACAGGAGGATTGCTAGCTAGAAAAACTAGCAATTAGTTAGCAAAAGTTCGTATTCTATTTTTATGTATTACTCATTCAAATTTGTACTGTATAATAAAGTATTATTTATTTTATTATTATTAAAGCCCGTAACTAGGGGGTTGATTAGGGTGGCTGTCACCCTCTATTTGAAAAAATGAGTTTCAAATCTTTACTAAATTTATGGTTTTGCTTTTTTTTATTAAAAGTAGTATTGCCTCAAGCTTTTTTAAAGTTCTTAATTCAACTATAAAAACACAAAACACATTTGTAAAAAAGTTAGTTAAATTTTATTGCTTCGACCATATAACTTGATTATATTTGCTCGAAGTTTTCTTTGGATAGCATCATTAATGCATGAAAGCTTTTAAGTTGTTTTTTTCTAACGTTAACCAATAGAACTGGTTTATAAAAAGTGAACATAGCGCAGCAACAAAAAGAAAATATTACAGTACACAACGTTTACCTTTTGTCTTATTGCATAAAAATTATGTACTTTTTTCAAGCGTTTTGTTTTTACTGTATTTTTTAGCATTTGTATTTACTTATATGTAGTTTTTTAATCTTATAAATTATTTAGTTTGAGTAATTTGAACCAAAAAAGAAATAGCGTGGCTGAGAAAGAACGTATTAAAAACTAAAAATATTGAAATCTTCTGCAAAAAAATGTGTGAAAGTAACATCTTATTTTAATAAAAAAAGACAGTCAGACGCAAAATGAAAACATAAACAGGTCTTCAATAGAGCTCGTAATAAAACAATCACAATTAATTTTTCATGACAATTCGTCAACATCTTTTAAAGACGACATTTTCTCTAACTTAATCGCGAAAAGTTCAGACAGTTTTCATGAACTTCACGGAAAAAAAATTGCATAAATTATCATCTACATCTTTCATAGCGATCAGCAGAACCGTGGTTTGGTTCCCCCACACACCCTACATAAGGGAAGGGTAAAAATTAGACCCAGTAGACACGGCACTGGCAATCATTAATACTCAATAAAACGACATTCAAATTGTGGAAGAACGCTCTAAAATGTTGTCAGGTTAAAGAAAATTTCGTTTAGCTCGTTTGTTCTGATAATATATTTTGCAAAGTCATTTCAAAAAACTTGACTAATCATATCACTAGTTACACTACAGTGTGTGGTTTCTTCGTGAGCATATAGTTAAGTTGAAAGTCAAGCATATAGTTAAGTTGAAAGTTAAGCATATAGTTAAGTTGAATAAAGTGACATTATATATACCTTTAAGTGCGTTAAAACTGTCATCTTAGAAATAGAAATCATGAGAATAGACGTAAATATGTTTGCGAACGAATATATAAGCATGCCTCGATACTTAACGAAAAATTAAGTGTGAAGCCATTAACGCTACAAAGTTATTAATAAAGAAGATTATTAAGTTATTAATAGAGAAGATTGTGTTATATATAAATTATTCGACAAGATTAAATTACATTCGAGAAGATTTGCTTTTAGACGATTAGTATTTGTTGTAATTAATCGAATACTTATCATTGAGACCAAATGTTTGTTTATTTATTTTTCATCAGTTACATTATGTTAAAAATTGAGGGTAATTTTTTGATTAATCATAATATTTAAAAAAATAACCTTTTAAAAAAACAGTGGACCGCAGTAAAAATTTTGTCACCCTCCTAAAAAATTTTGGTTACGGGTCTATTAATAATATGTATTTCGCTGATAAAAAATTATCAATGCTCAGACCACTACACTTTCTTGTTTAAAGTAACGATGGGCAAAACGAGACTCTAAAACACTAGTTTATCTAATACAGGCCGTCTAACAATTTTCATCTAACATACAGGCCGTCTAACAATTTTTGAAAAAAGAACTTGATATTTTTCAAATCTTTTACCATCCAACTATAACCTTTCAAAATTTACGTTGCAAAATTGCAGAGACCATTTATTGACAACACCTATCCTTTCTCATTTTGCCCCGCTATGTGGAGCAAAATGATTTTTTTATTGAGAAATTTTAATAAACAGATTTTTAAGAGGTTTACCATGATAAACATTTTATAATATAATACAGCTAATAATAATGTATAATATATAAACAAACAAATATAATACATAATCAAACTGTCACTAGTCAATCATATAATCAAACACACTGTCACTAGTCACATAAATCACATAATTCTTCCCCGGTATTTTGAAATGAACATCAGTCTGAACGAGGTCAGTTGTACGTTTTAAACATTGACTCCACTTCAGTCCTTTTCATTACAAAAATACCATTCCTAGTCTTCAACACTTAAACTTTTAATTTTTCTTTATGGGCCATCTGTATAATACGTACGCAAAAATCTCCAGATTTTGCGTACTTAATATATGGGTGACAAAGCTTCCCTTCCCCCACCCTCCATACGCACTCGTACTTAGGACAATCTTCCCCCTCCCCTCCTTGGTGCATACGTAGTATATGGATGACCCCTTGCCCTTTAATAATGCACATTTATTTTTCATTTTTTGTTCTTTCAACTTTTTTGACTTTTCAGATGATTCAAATAGTGAATCCTCCATTCAAATGGTGGTTCTTCTCCATTTCGTGGTAATAAAGTGAGCTTTGAAATAGCTAAAATGATAGAAAAGCAGGGTGTTACTATATTAAAATCAATAATTCCTGACATCCTGACTACAATCGTAATAAGGCGCTTGAATTAACTTGTGAGTTAATTTTATCAGGTTTATGTAAGTTGGCATGAGAGCTTTTATCATTATTAAACTCAATGTCTGGAATTATATCTCGACACAATGGATAAATTCCAGATGTAAAAACGCCAGAACAGACAACTTCTATAGTGACAACTTTATGATAAGCTTTGGAGAATATACCTCCAAATTGATCATTTGTTATTTCTTGTCCAGTATGCTCATACAACCATAATCCAAATTCTATATTGAAAAAAGTTTTAAGCCGTTTCCAAAAGCTTTGATTAAATGGCTGCAACTTGGAAGAAGTATGAGGTGGTAAAGCTATAATAACTATTTCATTTTCCTTTGAAAAATCTAACAAGCTAATCCTTTTTGTATGCGTTTTATGCCCATCTAAAATTAAAATAATTTTATTTTTGATCGAAAGCAGGTAAAATGTTTTATATACTCTAAAAGCCAATCAGTTATAATCCAGCCATTTTTTGAGCATCCTCCAATTGTTCTAATTGGAGAAAGATCTATAAGCTATAATTTCATTCTCTTTTTCTTAAAAATTATGATTGGTGGAATAAATTGTGCAATCACATTAATAGCACGAACAACAGTTGTCGTTACACCTCGTTCACCACTAGTTACAAAAAAAACACAAAGTTTTCCTTTTATTTTTATAACTTTAACAAATTTATGTACAGTTGTAATGTCTGATTCATCACAGTTAATTATTTGATGAGGTTCAAACTTGTAATTTTTCATAACAACTTCATAATTTTCATAAATTTGCTGTTTAAACCAGATGTTTAAACTAGATTTATAGACGACCCTTGAGGCTTTCTGATTAAAAGGTTTGGATGTCTCTTTAAAAATCCACTTACAAAATCTCTTGCTGCAACACCAATATATCTATTAAATGGGTTAACTATTTTGTACTTTTCAAAATACTAGAAGACAATTCGTTGAATGTCACTTATGTACAACCCATAATAAAATGTACCCATTTTTTTTATGTAGTTAACTAATTGACATTCTGTATCATCTAGCAATACTTTTTTAAATGAACCAAATGATTTTTTATGCATATTAATAGTATAAACTCTTTAATTTTCTTTGATAAAATTACCAGTAAATTGTGTAATTTCCTGGTAATTTTAATTCGTAACTGTCATATAGTCAAGAGATGAAACGGTTGTCGTTCTCCTTTTTATTTCGAAATGACTCAAGATATTTTTTATAACACTAAATAACTTAAAAACATAACTAAACTTTAAAATATCATTAAAACAATAAATTGCGCGGTTGGGATCATTATAAATGCAAACTGTCCCATTTTGTCCCGTCTTACCCTATGTTAACGACTTACATAAGTTTTCTAATATTTTAACTTCAATTTTATTCGCCGATGACACAAACTTGTTTTACTCTAATAGAAGAATCAACTACTTATTTGAAACAATCAATAAGGAACTCACAAATTTAACTGAATGGTTCAAGTCAAATTAAAAAACCATAAATATAAGTAAAGACTTTTTTTCATAGACATGAAAATTTTATTTATTTACTTAATTTTTATTTAAACTTTTTATTTTCATATACACATGTTTTTATATATACATGTTTTTCTTTTTTCTTTTAACTTTTTTTTTATCTTATTTTATATTATATTATACCTTTTTTTTTTTTTTTTTTTTTTACCTTATGCGAACAAGCCGTCTGGTTTGCTATTTTCCGTTCTTGTTTTTGTTACCTTAAACAGTCTAAAAAATAACTCTTGAAGCTATTAATAACTACTTAATTTAAGAAATAGTTCTTTTTATAACTTTTTATTTAATTCAGCTCTTACATTTAATTTTTTTTTTCTTTTTTTTTTTTTTGTTGGGGAGAGCGGGGTTGGTTGTCACACTTTTTACATTTTAGGCTGCTCAGCTTTTAATTTCATCCAATCAATGCCAAACTTTGCACAAAGCTAGTTAACTATTTTCAGTAACTATTATAATATTTTTATGACATTGAGTGAAATATTTATTGCTGTAAAATCATTTTTCAAAGACCACTTCTGTGTGACAACTAGCCCCGCTCACGGGGTAGGTTGTCACATGGTGCGGGGTTGATTGTCACATTTGGATTTTGACAAGTTTAGATAAGAATTTAATGTAAAACGAGTACAAATTAATTTCGTTTATGTTTTACTAAGAAAAATAAAAATAAAATACTATAAACTGAAATATATATATTTTAAATATAACACAATTAACAAATTTAGTTTATCACTATAAATGTTTTTAGGTTTGGTTTTTTAAAAATTATTGGATAAAGAACACAATTCACAAATAAACTGTTGTAAGCCTGGTGTGCATTCTTCATGAGCCCATTTTTGGCAAACCTGACATTGAATCCACTGTTCTCTTGATCGGCTGTTGGAAAATGATTCAAAACAATAGATGCACAGATACTCTTCATCTTCAGATGAATTCAAGACTATAGAAGGTTTTTTTGAAGCAAGATTTGATTTTATTAATTCTTTTTTACTTCCATTAGTAAATTTTTTTTTATTAGTTTTCTTCTTTTTATAATTAGCAAGCCATGATTTGACAGGCGTGTTAGTAAGAATCATAGTTGACCGCTTTTTCCTACCTCTTTTTGATGCTAACCTCGGGCCTGCTTTAGGCAGAGGCCTAATACTCTCAGGTGGTATGATTGAATTGTTAAAACCTAATGTTGTGATTGGGTTCTGATTAGAGGTTTTATTTGATACAACTGGATCTTCTATTGTTATGTCTACCTGATTATCTGGTATCTGAATAGATTCTTTAAATCTTTTATTTGATGGTTCTGGTTGCATTGAAAAGATTCACAGTCTTTTTTATTTGAATCAGCCTGTGAACAAGGTGGGTCAGGGCGATCAGTTACATAGTTAGGACAGTAATCATTTTCAGTAAACACATCAGGATTTAACGGGTAAATACCTGTTGCAGAAAGACCACTTAAAATATTGTGGGGAGATACAGCCTTTGGAAATGCAATGTTTACTATGTTTACTTTGGAAATGCAATGTTTCCAGGATTCATTACTAACAATGATGTCATAGCAGTATTTATGTAGTTTTTGAGAGGACCATAAACTGTCTTATCCAAGGGCTGCAACTTATGTGTGCAATGTGGTGGGAAGGTAAGCATTACTATTCCATTATTTTTTGCCAAATCTAATCCCTCAATACTAAGATAAGTTTCGTGATTGTCAAGCAACAATAAACAAGGCTTTTCTTTAGTAAATTTTGTATTGCCTACAAAATGTTTTAGATATTTTACAAAGTTTTCTTCTTTCATCCAACCACTTGGATTTGTATCTCCTGCACTTGCTGTTGGTGCACTGAATAGGAAACGATCTTTAAAGTTTTTACGAGGAAAAATAAAAAAGGGTGGAATACTATTTCCAATAGCATTTATTGTGCATGCTAATGTTACAAGAGTTCCTCTTTCAGCTGACGTGATGGCTCCTACTTGTTTTAATCCTTTTTTCGCAATAACCTTTTTAAGTTGCTGTACAATAGTTACAGCAGTTTCGTCCATGTTCCAAATGTCATTTGGTGAGAACGAATATTTTTGCATACAGTGCTGCAAATTGCTAAAAAATGATGCAACATTCTGCTTATTGAAACTTGTCGCTCGACTTAAACTAGTAGCTTCAGGTTGCCTAATGGAAATATTTGAATGGCGCTTTATAAATCCTGTAAACCAATCCTTACCAGCTTGTTCCTTTACAACCCAAGAATTGGGAACCTTAATATTATTTTTAATTGCTAGCTGGAAAGCAAGCTTTTTTACTTCGGTAGGAGTTAAACCAAAATATATATCTGCTGCTCGCAACAGGTAGGTGACCAGTTCTTTTTCTACTTTTTCTGGCAATATCAATCAACTTTTGTATCCTATAACATTCAGGGAGGTGGGGTTTTCAATTTTGTCAATTAGATCTGCTATAGAACCATTAATGCCATGGTTTTTTGCTGCTGATCTAATAGAAATGTTATTAATATTTACATCTTTAACAGCACACATTATGACATCTCCAGAAGTATAACCTCTATTAGTTTTTCTTTTAAAATTTCGTACCATGTTTATTACTAAGCAAATAAAAATATTTGTAAATAATGTAAACAAAACATTAATATATATATATATATATATATATATATATATATATATATATATATATATATATATATATATATATATATATATATATATATATATATATATATATGTATATATACATATATATATATATATATATATATATATATATATATATATATATATATATATATATATATATATATATATATATATATATATATATATATATATATATATATATATATATATATATATATATATATATATATATATATATATATATATATATATATATATATATATATAAACCCACTAAATATAAACAATGCACAAACTAAACAACAGCTAGTTGTTTAGTTTGTAAACAAAACAATAAACAGTTGAACTTCTGCAATCCTTTTTCTATAATTATACTAAACATTGGATCGGAATCTAAAGTTATGCACGTTGAAATAAAAATAATTTAGATTACAGATATTTAGTTAAACATATATAACACTTTGACTTTAGATTTTTAAATAATATCTTAAACATTAAAATATTCCTCAATAATGCGGAAAATAAACAAAGCCACTAAATATTCTGCAAGCGGCGTTTAATTTGCAGCGCATGGAGTCGAGGCAAGTGTGACAACCATCCCCATATATTTTGTGACAAGCAACCCCTTCTGAGTAAGTTGCTGGACACCTGTACATTTACCTAAAAGCGTGAGAATTTCATGATAATTTTTTACGGATTAAGTTACTCAAATGAATAAAGTACTTTATAAATCTACATTCAAAACACAATAAAATAATTTTCGTTTGGTAAAAGAAAATTTCTGAGTAGGCGAAATTTTACTTTTTCATATCAAAAACCTATAAAAACAAATAACTTTTCTTCTGCACGCTAAAAAAAGATAAAAATTACTGTAAAAATGTTTTTTTTATATAACATTTCCATTGTATAATTTGAAATTTCTATATCTTATTTACATTTCTTGTAATAAACTTTGTGACAACCAACCCGCGTGACAACCAACCCCGCTCTCCCCTACATCATGAGGTCTTTATTGTCTTTTATTAAGTTGTATTTATTAAATGTTTTTACTTTGTGGCTTTTGTTAAATAAATGTATTTCAATTAATTTTAGGCAGTATTATAAAAAATATCAGTATTGCCACAACAGCATACAACTCATCGCAATTTTTAAAACAGTTTAATCCATCAGAGAGTTGTTTGGATAAAGTCTCTGACCATTATCATTTTGTTCTCATTTTTTTAGTTTTTCTTCTATTAATATTGAAAATAGAGAAAATAATTGGGTTTATAAAAAAAGTTATGCTTATATAGGTTAAAAAATATAAAAGTAACAAAAAAACAAGTTTAATTTAGTAATACTAGTTACCCACAGAAATATAAATGAAACCTGAGATTTCAACCATTTTAAATGATTACACTAGGAAACAAAAAAAAAATTTGGTCAGCTGCCTGAGAAAAAACATGTCAGTCTGACATGTTGATTACAGTGGTAATTACTAATTCTGACATGCTGATTACAGTGGTGTAATCAGAATATTTGCATCACGTCAGGTTTTTGAGTTATACCACTTTTATATTTTTGGTCATAATGCATGTAGTAGCTAGCTTTTATATTGCTTAATATTGCTGTACACTTGTTGTGCTGTACTTTTACTTTTAAATGTTATGTTTTTTTTTTATTTTAGACTGATCGCGTAGCATTTAAAAGATATGAAGAAATATTAATAAATATGAAGAAAATTAAAAAGGGGTTGCTTGAATCATTCAGACTATTTCTGTAATATCTTTGGACATTTTACTCCCCGTGATCAGTGGAAACAACTTACAAGAAAAGTGAAGGTTGCCTACCATCATTACATTGGCATCAAAGTATGTGATCAAGACAGAACTCACCCAGTGGCTAAATGGCAAAAGGAAGTCTATGTCGTTTATGGTACCAATGATATGACGAGAGCCAAGAGATCATCATTCGGACTGCTACTTCTGCATGACAAATATTGCTGGATACTCCAGAAAAAAAACAAATCAGCAATTCATTATCCAAATTGTGACTCTGCTTTGAAACCTGATCCACGCGATGAACAAAATCCAGTTCCCAATCCTCCAGTATGTCTTGATAGCGAAAGCGACGATGACAATGAGGAAAGTCACAGTGAGCGGGAGAGTGATGCATATGAACCTATAGATGATGAAAAGATACCTCATTTTATTGGCCAAGCTGAATTAAACAATTTATTGAAGGATCTGGTATTAACGAAGAAGAAGGAAGAACTTTTTGCATCTCGTTTACAAATAATGAACTTGTTACGAATCGGAACAACAATTTCACATTTTCGTGATAAGCATGTACAGCTTGCATTGTTTTATGATAAGAATGACAGTATCTGTTATTGTACTAACATTAACGGTTTAATAAAAGAACTGGACTGTGAGTATACTCCAGGAGACTGGCGTTTGTTTATAGACTCAAGTAAAGTTTGTCTTAAAACAGTTCTCCTACACAATTTTAATGTGATGCCATCTAGTCCATTAGCCCACACAGTAGGATTACACAAGACATATGATTCTATGACGTTCCTTCTTAACGTTATCAAGTATAGAGATCACAACTGGTGCTTCTGTGGTATTTTTATATCTAAAAGTGTTGTCCCTTCTTCTTGGATTGCAGCTGGGATACACAAAGTACATGTGCTTTCTATGTCTATGGAACAGCCGTGACGACAAAAATCATTACACAGTTAAAGACTGGCCAGCGAGAACTGATCATGTCCCTGGCAGATACAATGTACAACATAAGTTTCTTGTTGATCCTACCAAAATACTACTTCCCCCTCTTCACATAAAGCTTGTACTGATTAAAAATTTTGTAAAGGCTCTGGGCAAGGATTCAGGTGGCTTTGCTTATCTTCAAGAGAATTTCAAGACCACTCTTACTCCAGTAAAAATAAGTTCAGGTGTATTCACCGGCCCTTAAATTCGTGAAGTCATTTGTGATCCCACCTTTAAGACACAGCTGCAGCCTGGGATGCATTTGTGGCTGTGGTTTCTAACTTTTTGGGAAATCACAGATCTGAGAACTATGAAGGGTGGTTGAAAAAGTAATAACAAAATATAAGGATATGGGATGCAGAATGTCCTTAAAAATTCACTTTTTGCACTCTCATCGTAGTTTCTTTCCACCCAATCTAGGTGCAGTCAGCGACGAACAGGGTGAAAGTTTTCACCAAGAAATAGCAACGATGGAAAACAGATATCAAAGGAGGTATGAGAGCAACATAATGGGCAATTTTTGTTGATTTTTACAGCGAGAGTGTGACACTAATTACAAAAGAAAAGCAAAGCAACATCATCTATTACATTATTTTTGATTTCAAAATGCACTGTATTACGTTTGCCTGAAGTTATTTCTACATATGATACTGTATAGTTGCTTTTGCTCTTCTATTTACATAAAATTTTTTGTTATTGTATTGAAATTTAGAAGCATTGACATTATATTTCTAATAACCATAAAGTGTTTAAATGGTAAATCAAGATGTCAATATAACTTTAAAACCCAAATGTCATTGAAAATTGTGATATAATACACAATTTTCAATGATATATTTGCAATCAGCAGGTCAAAATGATCTTAGTACACTTAACAGATCTCAGCGCAGTAGCAAAAATGTTGTTACCTAGTGTTATTAAAAGTGTTTCTATTTAACTTTTACACTTTTTTTTTGAAACATACTTGCAGGCAGTGTGGTAACTTAACAGCTGTTTCAACATATACTACTCTTGATTGTAATTTTTTGATGAATGCAAGGAAGCATTTTATACCAAACAGCATAAAGGCACTTAGTGCATATTTTTAAATTGTTTTTTTAACAGATTTTATATTTTTTTATAAATACCTTTCTGAGCAACCCAACTGACGTCTGAGTCACCAACGCAATGAGGCTAAGTTATAGAAATCAAACTAAAACTCAATTAAAATGTCATTTATTTTCTTATAAAAAAGATTTTCTAAAATGTTGGTTACAGTAAGTGGAATTTAAATTGTTGCAAAAAACTTTACATAAGGCAGAAATAAACTCTAGAACAGTCATGTATTTAAAAATTGGCCGTAATAGCATCTGCTACAAAAAAATAACGCAAAAATGACCAACAAGTAACTTTAAAGTACACTAGAGCAAAATAACATCGAGGTTTTAAACAAATATATAAAGTGATAAAGCGTGTACACGAAATAAGTGTGAAAGTAAAAAAACAACTAAAAAAAGGTAATCATTGACTTTTATTGGGAACCAAGTGTTAATATTAATACATTAATATAAGAAGATAAAAAACTTCAAAGAAATTAAATTTATTTCTGTGGGTATTTAATAAAATTTCAAACTTTAGTTTTGGTGGTACCCATAAGCTTGTGCACAGAACAACAATCAAAACTATTTGATGTTTTTTAAATGGCATTTAAAATTTTTGAAAAAAGAAAAAATTTGAAATGTGTCTGCATATTTTTTTTTATTTTTTGTCTAATAATTATCCAGTACTTAGCAATAATTTTTAACACTGGGCAGTTTAGAGGGTTTGTTATTTTAGACAACTTTCAGGTCTTTTTTTTTAATACCATCTCATGGCTAGTTTGCTTTAATGACTTGATAATAAATCAGGCCAGAACACACGTCTACTAATATGTGGTTTAGTAGGAGGCAAAAGATGTTTTTTTTAACACGCTTTAACATATATTTTACTAAAAGGTGTGGTTCAGAAATATAGAGTGCGGATTTTTTGCCAAACCTGCAAATAGCTTGCCAAATCAAAGCTTTTTTAGCAAACTTATCATTTTTAGTGTGTTTAAATTTCTTATTTGCTTTTCCTCTATATTCGAAAATATAATAGACAACACCAGGAATTTAATCATACATCATATAAGTTTCATCATCTTCAATAATCCCCTCCACGTCCCTGGTAGTACCACGCTCAACTCTTTTCTCCGCGAAGCGGCCTTGTTCGTGTTTCGGAGTTATAGAGTTGAGAGAGGCTTACATAACCACAAATAAGTAGCCTCCTCGTCTGAAGTGGCCTTCTCGGCCTTGAGGAGGTGAATTAACATTAAAAAAAAAAAAATTCAGAAATTTTCAAAAATATAATTGTCATACAACTTTCTTCAGTCGGTTCTTAATTTTTTTTTGAATTTCAGAACAGTTAGGCACTTTTTGTGATTTGAAAGCTTAAAAACATGTTTATATCAAACTTTTACAATAAAACAATGAGAAAATCTTCTTATTTTTGTGCGTACCCTTGTACCTAGTGTGTGCACCCTTAGTGTGAGGCTTTGATTATTCAAAAAACTGTGAACCAGTTTTCTAAATAGTTTTATATCTTCCAAAACCTCCTTTCCTCCATTACCAGATTTGCGTTTGATTGATTTTGTTTAGGGAAAACCTTAAACAACATGACTAACGATGAGAAATGTATTTGAAACTTTTTGGTACTGAATTGTAGCTAAATTCAGATTTTTCATAAAATTTATGCGAAAATTCTTTTTAACGTCTTCTTTATTTGTCATTTTTAAGAATTATTTTAAGTTAAATGGGAAAACTAAAATCTTTTTTTGAAATCATTACATGTTGCCAACAAAATTCAAACACAATGAAAAATATATTAACACAACCACTGAAAATGATGTATTTACTCTTTCATATTTATTTCGTACACACGCCTTATCTTATCCATTTAGACTTTTTTTTAAATGTATACTTATATGTAAATGTAAAATTATATAAAAAAAAAATCAAAAGATCAACTCAGCAAAGGGATTTACTGAAGAAAGCAAAGCTTTTATTTTCATAAGTAGAGAGAAAAAAAAGCAACGGGGGATATGATAACATTAGTCAATTTTTTTTAAACTTGCTTGCTGAAGGCTTTGTTGATCCAGTTTTTCTTATTTTTAAATTGAGTTTGGATATTGGGTGTGTCTCTTAAAATTGGTCTGTTACAAATACAACTTCATTTAATGAACGTGATACAAATCTTGACCTAGAAAGTTATAAACCCCCTTAACATTGGTAGTTTGCATAATTGTTGAAAAACTTATTCGAAATATAATTCTAGGGCATTTATTTTCAAGTGGACTTATTTCTAATTAACACATTGATTTTGTTCTGGACAAATGGTGCATCACAAGTATGATTAAGAATATTGAAACCTTTACGTATGAAACTGCAAAGGCTAAACGCTTATACGTAAAGTATTTTTTCTTTGCAAAAGTTTAGATAAAGTAAAAATAAAAGATTATTAAACAAAATTAAATTAAATAAGTTTACCCGGTAAATTGATTGAACGTTTAAAAATAGGAAACAAAAAGTTATTATTGGTTTCAGAATAGATATCTGTTACCAGTACCGTTTATTAGGGCACGAATTTGGCTCCTGTTGTGTTTATGCTATTCATTAACAATTTACCAGAACATGTCGAACACGTTTAAAATGCAGAAAATAGCACAATATTAGTCATAAAATGACTAATATTTTGATATATGATTACCATGATAAACAAGCAGAAATTCAAACCGACACTGACAACATTATGAAGTTGTGCAACAATTAGCATATGGAATTTAACTGCAAAAAATGTAAGGTGATGAAATTTGACAATCAAAAATTTTGAGCAACCACTGGTTGAATTTGCGACTTCATCACGGAGTCCGCCATATTTAGCCAAAATTTTTATGCCTTTAAAGTTCAAAGAGAAAAATTAATACATCATAATTTTTATAACTACATATTATAACTACGTTAAAACGTTTATACAAACTATACACGTCTTTAATGATAATAAACGTTCTTTTTGCCTTTGTTCTTCATTTTATTTTCCTTTCGAATTTTAGATTTTTAGTTCTCTTTAAAGAAAGTCTGGTGTTCAAATCTCTTTATACGATGTGATATTCTCTGAACTTTTAACAACATTGCAGTTTTAGCCATTAGCATAACAACAATAAAAATTAAAAGTAATATATATATAATATATACAATATATTTATATATATGTATATATATATATATATATATATATATATATATATATATATATATATACATAAATATATATATATATATATATATATATATATATATATATATATATATATATATATATATATATATATATATATATATATATATATATATATATATATATATATATATATATATATATATATATATATATATATATATATATATATATATATATATATATATATATATATATATATATATATATATATATATATATATATATATATATATATATATATATATATATATATATATATATATATATATATATATATATATATATATATATATATATATATATATATATATATATATATATATTAGGGTGGGTCACTTTTGAAAAATTTTTGAATTTAGGTTTGGCTGGGCATTTTTCTTATGTCTTTGACCGTATGATAATGAAAACCAATTTTCTTTTTATTTGCATTTAATGTTTAGTCAGGTAACTTTTAGACTGAAAATTTTTATCATAAATATATCGTTTATGCAAAGTTATGAAAAATGGTTTGCTACTTCTCAACAAAATGAAGTCTAAAAAGATTTCTAAGCCTTAGTTACCTAGTTACATCAATAATATATTAAAGTTACATCAAAAATTAAAATTTTATGGTATATTAAGTCTATACACGTAATAAGACATTAAAATATTGATAACAGCATTTTCTGCATATTTTTCTAAAATAAATTGTTTACTTATAATAAAAAGTTAAAATACTGATTACAAAATTTTCATCAGATCTTTTTTTGATTGGCACACAGGCATCAGCTCTCTATGAGCTATTGTAGCCCTCATGAACCCATCCCTTCTCTCAGTACCACATACCGACATTGAAGCCCTGGTGACCTCTTTCACAATGCGTTCAATAGATTGACCGTAAATAAGGAAGTTTGGTACAACCAAATTTTGGATTAATAATAAACTGTATAATATCATCTCTCATCAAACAACAAATAAGAACCGGTTCACTGATCTCCTCTGTTTCCCAATTGATTAAATCTATTAGATTATTTGTTTCAGTGTTTATCACTGGTATTCTTCTATTCCTGCATTTTCTGTCTCCAACATCCTTATTTTTTCAACATCAATTATTTTCTGCACTGCAAATCTCCTTTCTCCTTCATCTAAACTACGGAGCATTGTCTGAAGAATACATTCACTGTGTGCATTCCGGGCAGAGGAGCAGACATGTGGTAATACAATATCCCTCACAAACTTGTTCTGTTTTTTTACCAAGGCTAGTTGCTTAAAGATATGATGTGGACCTTGAATCCACCTATGTTTAGTCTAAAGTCAATTACTTTTCTTTAGCATAATCACAATTGTTTTACAATTATTAAAGTAAATTATAGTATTTAAGTAAATTATTGTATTATATCTTTATTTACATAACTAAGTTTCTTACCTTAAGATCAAACCACATAATCGAATAAGCACCCATGATGAACTCTGATAACAATTTTAAGTTTTGTAGATCTTTGTTTTTTAAACAATGCTCTGAGCACCTGATTCGAAGTAGTCTATTTGCGAGATTTAACCACCTTGAATGATTGTGTGGACCAATTTGAATCTCCTTCAAGTCAACAGGAAAAACACCTGATGCTATTGCATTATGTATTCTGTATAAATACTTCTGATCTGTAGACAGTGAATCTACAACTTCCTTCTCAAGAAGGACTAGGTCTACAACAAAATCAAGCTGAGGGATGCATGTCAAAATAGGAAGATTTGTTGCTATGTTAATAAGTTTTCCGATGTTTCCTGAGAATCTATTTTCAGATAAAGTTTTTCCATCTAAAGCTAACATTAAATGCTTAAGTGGCAATTCGTTGGTATGTAGCGCACAAAAAATCCAGATAAGTTTGAATCCTAGTTTTTTCTCTAAAAATTGAATAATTCCACCCTTCCAACCTAAAATAAATTTTTATTTTCAGTAAAAAAAAAAAAGAAGTACATAAAATTTTTAAGAACCATTTAAAGAAATAAAAACAAAACCTGTGTTAAGGTTGGTTGAATCTCCTCCAATTGCAACTAATTGATTTTCAATGCCATGTGCTATTATCCAATCATATAATTGTTCAGCAATATGTTCAGCAGGTGTTTGAGCTTCTCTCTCCACTGAATTATTTACAAAGTGGAATAAATAATTTCCACCAGGTTTAGAACAGACACTATAATGATCTTCTTTGATCTCCCTAGGGTAAGATTTACCATCATTGCCATATACAAATGTTTTAGTAAGGTCTTTTCTACCATCAAACATTATACATTGTATGCCCTCTTTCTTTACTTCATTATTATGTCTTTCTTTACAGACATCCATTACGCATTGATCTCTCAATTTTTTTATGATCCAGAGCTAGGTGTTTATCGAGTATATGATCTTTCAAAAAACCTGCATCTTTGGCTGCTTTTAATGTTGCAGTGCCTATTGATGCAGTTGCTCTGTTACTTGTACCAAATTGTAATGCTGACAAAGTGATATGATTTACATTTAAGGTATTTAGCTGAGAAACTTTTCTGGTAAATAAAGATTGTCATTATAATCATTCTCAGCATTGTCTGACTCCAGATCATTTTGAGATAATACATCAGAATACTCCATAGTCTCAATCATAATTTTGATTTGTTCTGCTTTCTTTGATGGTATTTTTTTTGTCTGGATACTTCTTTTTTATCAACTGAACCTATTTGCATTCCACTTTTAGAACCAACTTTATCCCTCTGTGACTTTAAAAATTTAAGTTCAACAATAGGAATTTTGTTTTCCTGAGAACATTTGCAAACAATATGAAAAACTTGGTTGCAGCCATAACAATCGGATTTTTCGCATGATTTTATTGAACATTTACACTTAGCTATGTCAAACAGTTTATCTAAGATTAATTTATGATTAGAAAGTTGCTTAGATGTTCCTCTACCTAACCCCAAATTATATGCTTTTTCCAGTCATATATGATTCTTTCTTTTCCTCTTTAATCAGAGATAATGGGTATAAGTGGATTAGCTTTTTGCCATAAATATTTTACTGAGGTCCACAATTTTTCAGAAGTTAGCCATAAATTTTGGTTACTTTCTTCAATCCTTCTAAGAAAGAGACCATCTCTTAAAGTTGGTAGTTCTGACTCTAATAATGTTTTTCCTGTACAAATTAGCTTTGTTAATTTGCATTTAACTTTATCACGAGTGTTTTGAGCCATTCTTCATAACTGTAAACTTATTTCTATGCAATAAATACATGCGTTATTATTTCTTCCTTTTAATAACTAATAAAACTGTTACTAGTGGTCCGACTTTGGCAGAAATACGTCACCAATACATTTAAAAAAAATAACTGTTACCCATTTCTATGGTACAATACCCCCCTTAGTTGCATTATTTTAGGATCACATTTTTATTGATAAAATAGGTGCAGTTTAAGACATTTATTGATTTAAAATGGTTTGAAGATGACAAAAGTAAAAAAATTGACAAAACTCTGGGGAAATTATATATTTATGATAAAACTAAAATTTTAAAGCTGAAAATTACCTGACTAAACATTAAATTCAAATAAAAAGAGAATTGGTTCTCATTATCATACGGTCAAAGACATAAGAAAAATGCCCAGCCGAACCTAAATTCAAAAATATTTAAAAAGTGACCCACTCTAATATATACATATATATATACATATATATATATATATATATATATATATATATATATATATATATATATATATATATATATATATATATATATATATATATATATATATATATATACACACACAAACATCACATCAATACATATTAAAGGTATGTAAACTATGTACACTGCCAAAAAATTATAAACTCTTTGTACAATTTTATTGCCTCGTCCAAACTAGCCCAAACAAAAAGGTTCCTTAGAAAGGTTCCTTTTAAAGTTCCATAGTTAATGTGCTGAAGTGAATAATCAAATATATCTAAATTAAAAATATATATACAATAAGTAACATATCAAAATAATAAATAACAAACATATAAAATATAAAACTATTAGCAAATATAATAGAAATAAATAAAAACATAAAATAATACAGCAAAGTCAAATTTTGTGAAAGAGATTATTAAAAGTTTAGATGTTTAGCACAATAAAAAAAAAAAAAAGGAGTGGAATAAACTACCTATTTATATGAAAAACAAAAAAATGAATATTTGAGTTTAATTTATTCTGTTTGACTGACTAAGCACGGACTGCTCTAATGCGGACCGTGTACTGCTGGTGGAAAGTATAGTTGTATAATCTTACGCTTATGTTTACTCTGACAATTATATTTGCAGAAATAATAATTTTTCTATTAATACATATTATACAGATTTACATATATGTTGCACAACTAATGTTATATGTATTTACTTGAAAATCTAAAACTTAATGTTCTCTGCTGTCTATCTTCCAAAGTTTTTTTTTTACCATATTTTATTAGTTAATTATAGTTAATTATAATAACATTTATTACCATAAGCTTTCTTTTTTTATCAAGTTTTATAAACTTTTCTATGCTACGTTATGGAGCTATGTTGATAGGAACCCATGCGGGCTTGCCATTCTCAACGGAGCCCACATAAACATGCTATTAGGTGTTTCAAAGATTAAATGATTCCAGTATCTAAATTTTCTCTTCAGTAAAGCTTGTGCTGCACTAGCTGCTGCATGTCTTAACAATTTTAAAACTGTTAATACATTACAATTTTTTATGATCAACTTTATCGAAAGCTGAAGCGAAATCCAGGAATATAATAATTGCGTAAAAGCCAGAATTTAGTACTTCTGATAAGATGTCTATTATCCCTAATAAATTTGCAACACACAAGTTTTGCCTAACTAAGCCACATTTTGTTCAACAAATTTTTGAAAATTTTACATATTTGGGTTGTTGAAGATATTGGATTGTATATTGTCATCACGTTAGCTTCCTTCCAAATACTATGTATTATACATTTGTCAAATGATGATACTATCAGCGAAGAAATAGGCTGAGCTAATCCAGTGGCGCACTCATAAAGACCTATGCAACCTGGGTCAGTTCTTTTGGGTTTTTTTTAGCTGACGAAGTTCACAAACTTTATTAAGATTAGATTGATCAATCTTGCATACAAGATCAGTTTTTGTTTAAAAATGGAAACATATTTTTGTGGTAAACATTAGAGAAAGCGGACTTAAAGAGTTTTT